TCAGGGTGAAGTCTCTCTCAGGGAGGAGTGATAGGGAATGGCAAAGGACACACTGACAAAGGAGATTAATCAGAACTGGCTTTGACAACCACTGTGACAACTGGACAATTAAAACAGACATTCGGATGGCGGGGAAGAAGAACAAACTGGGGAGGAGGGTAGAGAAAATGTTGCAGTAATGAAGGAATGAAAACCCAAAATCCCTGTAAATGTTCATTAAAACTAATAAATTTAATAAAATAAAAAAAAAGAAAAGCATCTAAACTACTGGGCCATTAAGCAACATCATGCTAGATCAAGAGAAGATTGAAGTTACCAAAGATTTCATCTTATTTAGATCCACAATCAACACCATTGGTTCGCACTAGTCAAGAGATTAAAAAAAACAGAAACCAAAAAAAACAAAAACACCAAAAACACTGATGTGCAGAAGAATGACATTTTAAAGAGGAAAAAATGCACATATTATTTGGAGCCCCTCTGGCTAAGAGTGTAATGGAACTTTCCCTTGATTAAAAATAAAAATAGTGAGAAATACTTATCTCTGATTCTGATACTCACTGATTTTTCTCACTTTCTCATTAGGGAAGATTGTTGATGCTTGTTACAACTGTAAAGTGGCGCCCTACTTATAGCAGGATGAGGGAGATGTGACCTGTCCACTAAAACAATTCTCTGAAAAACTGGGGAGCAGCAGGGAGCATCAGATCATGACTTATACTTCTTGGGTTTGATTGGAACTCTCTGGGATCAGAACAATAACCACACACCTTTGGTATATTTACCATCACTTCAAAAGATTTTACCTGTGTTCATCCCAAAACTCTTTGGCAGGCAAGCATTTGGTTTCACGTTGTAATTTTGATAATAGTCTAATTTTTATATTTTCTTTTCACTTTCTATTACAAAAATCTGTTTTCCTGAAACTCAATTACTGAGTGTTGTCCCTTCTGTGAGCACAGATTTTCAAGCATGCTGAGCTTTCTGCTGACTGAAATGCAGAATTTTCAACCAATGTCTTGATGACAACTTCCTGGCTTTCAGTATCATTTCAGCCAACATCTTGGTGATGACTTCCTCTCTTTCAAGTACTTCTCTACGTGTGCTTTTAGTACTTGACATAAGTCATTGATGGGAGATTTGTCCGACGCAATACTTATTTGTCATATTTATTTATATTTCTATTATATAAAATTTTATATTAGAGAATATATTTTATATAATTATATGAAATTATGTA